CGTCCCCCCCCCCATCCCCTCAGTCACAGCACTGCCACTGCCCACACCGGCCCCATGCCAATCTGGGGGCACACGCCCCCCCCATGCTCTCTTGGATGAGCGGTGGAAGCCACTGAATGAGCCGATGCACCAGCGGCTCCCAGAGCTGTGCGCAATGGCTGGTGCCACCCCCACCTCCTCATATCTCCTGAAGAAGCTGTGGCTCCATCCTGCACCCACCCTGCCCCGGCTAGGCAGCACTTGCCCCATCCCCTGCCCCAGCCCCAGTTCCACTCCTCCCTCATGGCAGGGGCCTTGATCTGCACCCCTCCTCCATGCCCCTCTCCCCCCTGCTCCTGCTTCCTCCACACCAGACTTACCAGCTGCATGTAGCTCTCCAAGCTGCTGGGCTGGTACTGGAAATTGGATAGGTATCGGCCAATATGCTTCCATAAAAATTGGATATTGGTATTGGTCCCAAAAATCTCTATCGGTGCACCTCTAGCTTTTATTTTATTTTTGGAGGGGTTTTCTTTGGAGGAGGGATTGAGTGAGATCAGTAAAAAAAGTGTTGGCAAAATATGCACAGTGCAAGTGGCACTGCATCTAATTCAGGATAAAATGAGAAAGGAGCCAGGCAATATAGGGATAAGTAGAAGGACTGTTGAGGGAAGAAACTGAATTTGTGTCAGGATTTTAGTGCCCAAACTTCATTCTTCCATCAGTTGTAGGCAATTTGGCCCTTCTTCACTTCACAAAACTTTTTTTTTCTGTCTGTCTCTTCCTCCAGTAGCAAATCCTGGTTTTTCTTACCCTTCTTTCCCTACCCTTGTTCTGGTGTGCCCTCTATTACTTTGTATCTTTCCCATCCCTCTCCATTGCTTTCAGTCCCCAAAATTTCTTCTTTGCAGTAGGCTCTACACATTCAACCAGTAAGACCCACATAACAAGTTAATATGTAACTGTTATTAGGAATCTTGTGCCTGAGCCATGGGCAATATATACATTATGGTAGCAGGGTAAGAAATTTGTAGTCTTGTGCTCATTTTGTGCTCATTTCTTCTGTACTGGTTAGAAATTGTACTTAGGCGAGTAGCTGATCTCTCATGGTTACAAAGCATACAAAATAAATGATGGTTGGTTTTTAGCATTCTTAGGGCTATCCTTGGCTTACACTGGAGTTTTACCTTTAAGTTCAGTCAGTCATCAGGGCAGATTCAAGATGAAGACTTTTGCAAAAAATATTGTGGAGGGTTGTTTTGAACAGTTCCCACTGATTCTTTGTCACCTTCTTCCTGAGCAGTAGCCTGAATTTCTTGCTGTGATGGTCTACCTTTGAAAGAAACACTTTCATACTAGTAATTGTACTGAAGACGTATGTAGATTTGTTTAAAAATAAAAGTTGGCTATTATTTTCAAATGCCTGTGGGGATAGGGGAAATTTAACTTAGCATCCAAAACCCATCTACCATTCAGAAATTGAGAATGTCTGAATTTCAAAAGTGCTGAGAGACATGCAGGTATGCCTAGAATTCAGTTTTTTGGTCTGGTATTACGGATATGGAACTGCTCTGTCATATGTTATGAATTCTCCATGTTGATTGGCTTATGGGGTCACTCATCTTTATACACAGACTGGATTAAATAAAGGGTCTGTCGAGGCAACAAACAGTATAGAAGAATGGTGACTTGAGATGAAATCTCCCTCTGAGCCATTGAGGTTTTCCAGAGGATAACCCTCAAAGCCTCAGCCTCCTCTTGAATGTACCAAACTGATAGTGCATCTTAAAATCAGGCTCTCTGGTCTAGTAACCTAAATATATATTTGGAAGCCTAAGTTTTCATTGGCTTCCTTCTACTTTATGTTGGCTGCCTTCTACTGAGATAGCTGTCTTTTGGTGAAAGAAATAAACTTTCTTTATTCAATATCTTTATCAAGATAGAAGTAAGAATGAGGGGTGTCAGTCCCCAGGCTCAGTCTTGCACAGTGCTACAAAGTAAGTGGCATTTAAGGGTTGCACAGTGCTTTATAAGACCAGGCTCCTAGGACCAGTTTCTGCTCTACCTGCTAGTTACATAATGGGACTTAGACATTTAACTGGTTTTCTTTCACCTTGCTCAGATTCCTTAAAAACTGTTAATCCAAAAGTTGGGTGAGTTCTCCTCCTCCACTTTTTTTGCAACTCTAAGGACCAGATCATGTTATGTTACAAAAGTAGATGAACTGAAAAAATAGATGTAGTGGAAAGAAGATGAAGAGAATTCTAGGAGAGTTGGCCCAGACACTAACCAGCTTGGCACTGGCAAAGTCCTTGGTATATAAGACCTCAGCATTCACACTTTGGTGGCAGCAATCCTGGCATAAATTGCTTTGCTGATAGTACTGTTGTATCAGAGCCCTAGTTGCCATCCCACCCAACATTGCTCCAAGGACTGCTTACAGGGAACAGGGTGGATAGCATCACACTTACATGCACAATAGTTGGAATAAAATCTGGCCCTTTGTGTCCTAAATGGCTAGTTTGTCACTGATTTATTGCAGGAAAGGGGAAGAGGTTATCCACAATCTGTTCCTTCCTATAATGTGTTGGTTGGGTTGCATCCTGTGCTCTGTTTTTGGAGGCGGGCATTGTTGCATTTATATAGTAATGGGCATGCTGTTGATCCTTTCATTTTGGGCCTGATCCAGTTCCCAGTTAAGTCAGTGGAAATTACTTCAGTGGGTGACAGATCGAGTCCTTCAATAGTATTTTTGCTATTATCAGAACTTTTTGTACTGACACTTTCTCTGAAAAAGCCATTGTTTTATTCGTGTTAATTGCTGACATCTCCTGAAATGTTCTTGGAATATAGGTAATGGATTAAGATATAGGATTTTTTTGCAATGTGTGAATCCACTGGTATATAAGATGCTGAACTATATTAATTTCCTCCCCTGAAAAGTTCAGCAGCAAAGGTGTAGTTTTGAAAATGTTTTTTTTTTCTAATCTTAGTGCATTTCACTTTGTCCTTTTAATGAGATTTTAATAAGTTGTGGATCACTTGCCTGTTCTCTTTTTGTGAGTGAAGCTATGTATATAAACAAAGAATCCAGTTAGCATCATCATGGACTAGAAAGTTCTTCTTAGATATGTCAGTGTGGATCCCATTGTAGAAGTGTGGACATGGCTTATGCATGACAGACTGAAGTAGTATCCAGGGCCATGAGTGCACCTTTATTCTCCTAAAGCTTCTGTGTTAGCACATGATCTTCCCACAGTTCCCTCTACTGCCTATGGCAGTGAGATGGA